ATGCCCGTGTCACACTATGCATTGGAGATTGAGGATTGCGAATTAAGGATTAGAATTCGACCAATCAGGTAATTTTAAGTTTAATCTGTTTCGTTCTAATTGGTTGAATTCTAATCCTCAATTCGCAATCCTCAGTCTCCAATGTGTAGTGTGACACGGGCATTAGGGAACTAAACTTATAATCAGTGTTGTGCCTAGGTACAAGTACCTAAGAAAAAAAAAGTACCTCGGTATAGTTACTAGGTACACAAATTTGTACCTAGGTACAAGTACCTAGGTACTGTAACTAGGTACAAATTTGTGTACCTAGTAACTGTACCGAGGTACTTTTTTTTTCTGATATCTATACCTATACCTAAGTACCATTTCTTGTGTACCGGTACCTATATTTAGGTACACTTTAGTTATTTTTCGGATCCGCAACTGCTAAACTGAAAACTTATCATCTGAACGCAACCATTGTGATTGATTCACTATGATCGGGGCCTACAGAGTTGGTAACAGTAGCTACGTTTACACCGTGCGCTTAGTCCGCGACTTATACTATAGGTGTCTTTGTTTAATATACAGGATAAACAAAGACATCTATTGTATAGGCCGCGGCCTAAATGCACGGTGTAAACGTAGCCATTGATGCGCAGACCGAGAGAAGGTACACACATACGTACATTAGAGAGCCTATCATAAGAAATTCGCCAACCACGTGATCCGAATCGCGCTGATTGGCTTGGGGAGTATTGCGCTCAGAAAAGGTTAGAATGGGTGCGTCCCGTTTCTTGCATGATGCGCATAGAAGTATAGAAGTTCGTTCTGTTTCTCTTCATGCACACTCGCTGCATGCATGATTCAACCTACCGCCAATTACATAACCCCTTCCGGTGCATGAGATCGCATGAAATGCCTCACCTCTCGAGCTGAGGCAGTTCATGCAGTTTATGCATTCAACATATTTTAGTGCAAAACTAAAATCATAGTGGTTCGGCTAGGGCGAATGTTCTCAAAATCACGTAAGGGTTAAAGATAAGTAAGTAGAGTGCTCAGAATACCTAAAAATTGTAATTAATACCTAAAAATTGTAATTAATACCTAAAAATTGTAATTCAGTCAATTTTAAATTGTCGTCCATGTTCATCAATGCGTGAATTCACTGCGAATCTGTTCCGTTACTAAAATCGCATGGAGTATATTGGAGAAACGGAACGTACCCTGCACTCCATGCCATGCACTAAATACTCATGCGCTTCATGCAAGAAACGGAACGCACCCAATGATAGTGACACAAGCTGCCTGCTGCAGCCTTTGGCTGCGGTCCACTTGATGCTACAAACGCTTCGTTTGAGCGACCAATCAGAACAAAGAATTTTACGAATTGACTAATCAAAGAATGTTTCGAAGCGTTCGTAGCGTCAAGTGGACCGCAGCCTTTATCTCCCTGTCATTGTCACCTAACCTTCTCGAGTCCATGCGTCCCGAGTCAATCAGAGCACGAGTCAGATCACGAGTCAGATCACGTGATGAGTTGGTGATTCTTATTATAGCCTAATGCCTAAATGCCCTGCGTATCCCCTCCACATGACTTTTGTTTGAGTGCTTGATAGTTTGATCTCGTCGTTTCGAATAGTTTTGATTTCAATTGATCATTAATAGGCTGATAAATAACCTGATAACCGATTTTATCAACACCAGATAAAGAACGGCTTTTTCGTGTCAGTCGTGTCTCGTGTCTGATCGTGTCCAGTCGTATCAGAAAGTAAACAGTTTTACGAACCGTTGAATCCATTATTGTGTTTACTTTGTATCGATGATACGCAACATGTCTGATCAATCTGATTGTGATACAGATGACTCACATGCTATATCAGATAAAATTGTTTCAAGTAATAACAATAATAATGTTGATATTGTTGACGCAGATTCAATTATGAACATTTTGAGTCGTTTACCAACTTACTTGTCTAAACTTTTCAAAATCAAAGAAATCAAAGAGACTTCGTTAATCGTGGAGTGTGTGGATGTGTGTGTGTGTGTGTGTGTGTGTGTGTGTGTGTGTGTGTGTGTGTGTGTGTGTGTGTGTGTGTGTG